CTGGGTCAACATCTACATATACATATAAACAAAAAACCTGAAATCAGTCTACAAGCTGAATTCTCATACCCCTGTTTAAATAAGGGCACTCAAACTGGGGCGGAGGAATATGAGGAAGGTGTGGAAAAAGGTTGGTAGTTAGATGGAAGAGCACAGAATTCAAGGGCTGCACCCAGTGTGCATGACTGCAAATTAGTAACATTGTTGATGGTATACATATATTACACATGTTACATGTCCAACCGAGAAATTGTAATGAGATCTTTTTCTAAGGCTCTAAATAGACATTCTGTAACAGGGAACACTGTTGAATTGATTGGTGTGTGAAAATGGCTGTAAATCACACAGGAGGCAACATGCATGTACTTTTGATATTTATCGTTAGGAAATGTAAACGCCATTGATAATACTGTACCTCTGATGGATATGTCCTGTTGCTCAGAGAACGCTCAATCTCAGCTTCTGTCTGTGGGCTGCTTGCTATTTCCATGACAACTTGTGGCTGATATCGATCCTGATCATCACTACGTAAAAGAGGAGGTGTCGTATCATCACATGAGGGCGCTGTACTGCTTTGTGACGAAATATCTTGAGCTGTGCGTAGTAGATGCTTCAACAAATCTGTAACCGTCCCCTCATGATCTCCCACATTGGGATGTTTTCTATTTGTATGTGTCATTTCTCCAGTATCCGAAGTGTTGCTTGTGACGAGAGTGGGTCGATTAATAACAGCAGCATCGGTGTTAGTGTCCTCCTTTAAACGCCTTTTAGCAGCCTCATTAGAGCCTGCCTGTTTTTTCCTCCTTCGTCTCTTACGTTTCTTACTTTTCTCTTCAGCTTTACTCTGCAATTGTCCATCTTCAACCTGAAACCATCTTGGGCTAGGGTTCCGCCTCCTGCATAGCAGAAATGGACACAGACAGCAACAACCCAAGATGTTCTCTTTTCCACAGAGACAGAAGACATCCTGATACCACGATCTTGAAGGATGTACATTATTGTTCGTTTCCTCAGCTGCCATGGCAACCTGATTATCCAAGCTAAAGCGCTGTCTTAAGTCAAGCTGCCTTCAATATTACTGGTACATGTAATCCAGCAGTGACGTCTTGTTAGAAACGCCAGACTTAGAAATTTATGCAACACTTGAAGATGCTCACTTTTATAACAGCATTACCAGATGATCAGTTTCTCAACAAATAAAATTGAAATTACCAGTAGTGAACAGGTACATGTACATGTACTTCTGCTGTCACAAAATTGCTTCAGGGGCTTGGATGAGTGTCCTCCAACTTTTGGCAACAAAAAGCCGACTGGAATTGGAGTCCATTCTGCTGCACTGAATCTTCAGATACATGTACGTACTTGAAGAAAAACACACAGCTCTCGAAAACCTTGTTTTCATTCAAAACATGGCGAGGAGAAATTTATGCTGATGTCATTCCATTGCTTGCAGTGTCAGTGCACCTGTTCTGTGAGAGCCCGTCTGGAAACCTAAACAATGTACATGTATGTACAGTGTATGACGAACAAACAAAATGTGCCAGCTACATGTATGTTGCTGCAAATTTTAGCAAACA